GGAGACGAACTCCTCATCTCAACCTTTCAGATACGGTCAAAATCGGGTCGGCACATTTTCAAAGTAACGAGTTGTCTCTTCTTATACATTTACGTTCTTTGCGGACGCGAACTCCTCATCTCAACCTTTCAGACCTCACTCGCCGACTTTAACGAGTTGTCGCTTCTTATACATTTACGTTCTTTGTTATATATTTACGTTCTTTGGTGATAACCGGGTATTATCTTTACTCTTTTATGTGAGTATTGGGCTGCACTAGTTTTGTAAGCTTGGTAGCACTGCAGGTTGAATGTCAAAAATTTCCTTCCTATTACAAATTTCCCCTTTTGGTTTCTTTTTTAGCAATTCTCTACACGTTTCTGGAGGTAAGCTGAAATTTTCTGCAAAAAATTAACGTTTCTGTGACGTTTTATTACGATATTATTAAGAAATTGAAAACTAGAAATTAGAAACTTATATGTGAGTAGATTGTGGCAACTATTTGCATCAAAATATTGTGAAAATGTTTGAAAGAAAATTTGACCAAAGATTCTAACCTAAAACTGACACGCCACATCTAATGCACCCATTGAAGTGGCAACGCAATTTCTAATTTGTTTATTTTCTTGCAGATAGACGAACGAAATGCAGATTTTCGTCAAAACACTTACTGGCAAGACCATCACTTTGGAGGTCGAGCCATCTGACTCTATCGAAAATGTCAAGGCTAAAATCCAAGATAAAGAAGGTATACCACCAGATCAACAACGTTTGATTTTCGCCGGCAAGCAATTGGAAGATGGTCGCACTTTGTCCGACTACAACATTCAAAAGGAGTCAACCCTCCACTTGGTGTTGCGTCTGCGTGGTGGTATCATTGAACCCTCGTTGCGTATTTTGGCACAAAAATACAATTGCGATAAGATGATCTGTCGCAAATGCTATGCTCGTCTGCATCCACGTGCGACTAACTGCCGCAAGAAGAAGTGTGGACACACCAACAACTTGCGCCCCAAGAAGAAGTTGAAGTAGACGACTGGAATATGGACGAAGCGAAGGAATGTTGTGTATGCGTGCAGAAGCAGCTTACCGTTTTTTTTTTCTTTTTTCTGTGTATGAATTGAAGTAGATTAAAAAAAATTAATTGAAAATACTTTATAGCATAGAATTATGTATGTATTTCACTTTAGTGTAGAAAATGTTTGGGTGAATTGAATTGGTTAATTGGAAGAAATAACAATGCATTTTGCGAATAATGAATCAGATGTTTGCAAAAGCTTGTATGTGTTCTGCATGCTATCGGTTTAATAACATCAAAGACACCTTCAACTTGATTGGTAAATGTATTTAGGTCGATTCTGCATTTCACTTCCGGTTGAATTTCAACCCCTGAAAATTTGAATTCAAAGCGAATTAGATTGAAATTCACTCAGAAGTGAAGTGCTGGTTATAAAACTGATTCCTAGAAAATATTTTTTAAATAAAACATAATCCTGGACAAGGATTTTCCGAGTAAAGAAAACTCGTTTAACGACGTTTTCTCATGTAGGTCTTTAAAATTTTTCTGCCCTTTAAAAAACTTTCAGTACAAAATTTGTGTTTAAAGAGCAGATAAATTTTAAAACCTACATGGGAAAACGGCCCTTAGTTTATTAGAAAAGAAAATGCTGTAAGATTCGAACTTCGCTATCTTCAGACCATCTTAATCTCTTCATAACGAAATGAAATCACGATTTCTCCTTTTAAAAAATCCTCATAGCAATTGTTAAATCCCTCTGCCATTTTTATGCAGCCTTTTTGTCTTGCTTTCAAATTGAAGTATTTCCTAGTTCTATTTTTTTCTTTCAATTTTATTCCCAACAGTTCGCCTGCAAAATCGCGGATTCGACAAGTCATCAAATTTTTGAATTTCAGCTGTTGGAAGTGCACCTTGCCCAATTTTTTGCTCTTCTAGTCGAAAATGTCTTCCAAATTATTCAAAAGGTGTTATATACAATTTTTATTCACTTTGCTATACATACGATCATTCGCCAAAATTAAGTTAAAATTAAGCTTCTCTGTTGGTTCTTTGCTTTTTTTTTCAATAAAAAGTAATGCATCTATTCAAGTAAAGCGGGGTGTTGAAACCAATGCTGGAAATTACGTTTAATAAATGCGCGGTGCTCCTTTTCAACCAAATACGCGGCGCCCATGCCTTTGTGAAATGACTGGTAAGGTGAGACAAAGCGACATCATAAAAACGATACTCTCTTGCTATCTCGCTTGCACATTAGGCAAATGTATCTATTGCGAAATACACTAGCGCAAGATATGAAATTGTAATTTTGATGCCATTTGAACAAAAATAAGTTTTATTTGCAGAGAATTTATGGTAAACTGCTATTTTATCGTATTTTAGCCTTTTCTAGCTTATTTATCTAGTCCATCTTTTAATTTTAATACAAGTGGAATTGAGTACACCGTTCCGATTTTCGAGTTCGTAACGGGCAAATATTCGACTTCCGTCAAGTTTTCCCTGCTACGTTTGTTTGTGTGTGTGTATATGAGTACGTCAAGTGTGCGGAAATGCATGGGCGTATAAATTTTAATGAAATTTTCATCTATCTATTGTTAATTTGCATTTCGAAATTTTTTTATACTAAAAAAATTGTTAAGTTTTTTTTAATTATAATTTTTTTTAGTACATGCATAAAGTGCATTTTTCATTGGTATCTGTGGTTGGTGGTGTTTGGCCTGCAAAAAGTTGAAGAATTTCACAACGAACCTCAAAATCGAGATATGGCGCAATTTCCAAATGGCGAAATATTGGTATTATAAATGTTGGACCATGGCAGCGATGGAAACAGTACCACTTCTGCTGTGAAAAGTTAAGTGCTTTCATATTTTGTTAATAAGAAGAAGAAAAAAGTAAGTTATTCCACGGAACATTAACCGAATGACAATTCAAGTGAAAGTATAAGTTTGTTTGATAACTTTTTCAACAAAAACAAAAATAATTTAAGAATCTATAATAAGTGAAAGAAAATAAATAAATATAAATCGAATAAAAAATCACATTTAAATTTAAAAATATGAATTGGGTCAACAGAAGTTAATTTTTAAAAGCTTCAAATTATTTGAAAATTTAAATTAATCGCAATCGCGATTCACAAATGAATGCATATGTATGTATGTATGTGCATTAGATTGCAACACTCCCAATACAAAAAAAATATCGGTAGTATGTTTCCATTGGAATTAAAAAAGCTATTATATTATAAGACGTCCACCAAAATATTTCGGAAAAATATTAAGTCTTACGTGTGCTGGACCGATTTGAAAATACGCCCAAAAATGGAGTTTTTTATGAATAAAAATAATTTCGTAAAGTTTTTTTTTTGAAAAAAATCTTCTCAAATGACAAAACGGTTTAAGCCTAAAAAAATTGCATACAAATATTTTAAGAAATTGAAAAAAATGTTCAACGGAATCGTAATAATGAGATTTTTGATGCTGTTCATTAACTTTTTTCAAAGATTGGTATAAGAAAACTTGAATAACTGAACGTAAACTATTCCGATTTAGACTTGTGAAGTATCATTGGAAAGGTATTTTCTCACCCTTATTATTTCTTTGCTACTAAACTCATTCAAAGGATGAAAGAGAAAGGTAGGATGAACGAGTGTCATTCCAAGTTGAATTAAGATATGTGGCTATTTGGAAAAAAATTGGAACGTGAATGAGCTTTTTTGTGCACAGAAATAAAAAAAGTTCTTTAAGAAACTATTTTAATTCATAAAAAACTCCATTTTTGGCGGAAAACCGCAACTTTTTTTTGGTGATGCAGTCTAATGTACATACATACATATGTATATTAACTATTTATGAATTCATATTTTTTTTTAATTTTAAAAATTTCAATGCTTAGTTAAAAATGGAAGTACTAAATCATTGCCTCTACAGTTATACAGTGCAAAATTACATACGCACTTATTAAATACATATTTACATGTACGTTCATTAGTGTGGATCAACAAAAAAAGGAAAAACCGCCTCCGGAGTTTTAAAATTTATTACATGTATTTTGAGACTTCCGTCAAAAATTATCAGAACAATATTAAGATTCACGGAAGCTATACCGATTTGAAAATATCTACCACCAAAAATCTCAATACATATTTTGATTCCGTTAAAAAAAAAAATTTACATTTTTATGCAAAACCTTTATGCTTAAGTTTTATTTATAAAAAACCTCGATTTTAGGAGGTATGTATTATCAAATAGGTCCAGCTCACGTAAATCTTAATATTTTTCCGAAATATTTTGGCAGAAGTTTTAAAATATACATATATAACAAATTTCAAATTTCCGATGTGAAAAAACAGTACTGATTGTTTTTTTTGTATGTAGACTGATGCACCCTAATGTACATAAATTATTTGTAAAAGTGTAGAAATTGGTCGCTAAGCTTTCTGCCAAAACAACTAACTACGTTTATTTATACAGCTAAAACTTCAAAATGAAAAACAAAAGCATCGCACCACATCTTGTCGAGCTGGCTGAAAAGTACAATGTGAAAAGGATGGTTTGCCGCAAATGTTACGCCCGTCTGCCTCCTAAAGCAACCAATTGTCGCAAGAAGAACTGTCATTCGAGTGATCTGCGTCCTAAGAAGGAACTAAAGGATTACAAAGGCTGAAGAAATTTCGTGCTTTTCAATGAATACATACAAATACGCACTTGTGTACTCGTCTGTCTCCGAAAAAAAGTCCGTACTTTTATAAAAGTGGATGTACAAAATAAGGAATCTTATTCTACGCGCCTAATCGTTAAATCGGGTGATGTTTTCATCCACATATTTATGTAAAATACCATCATCTTTTCAATTAAATAATTTAATGCATTAAACTTTTACATACATGTGCAAAACTATATAATTTTAAAAATAAAAGCTTTAGCATACAATTATCAAAAGTTGATTAATTTGTTATGCACAGAGCTCGGATTTGTATGCAAAAAATAAGCCGAAAAATATGTGCCATCATAACTAAAAGCAAAATACAGTCAGCGTAAAAAATATGAATACCCCGACGTTTTGACGCTTTTATTTATTTATATTTTCCATACCATATTTTTTTTTTATCTTTTTATAAAAATATAATTCCAGAATAAATTTTTTTAATCTCATACAGAACTCGAGAAAATGCAAGAAATACCAAAAAAATTGCATCAAAATTTAAAAATTTTCAAATCAGTTTTTTAGAAAAAATTTGAGTATGCAATTTTTGTGCATTTTCTTCTACATAACGCATGAACAAAATCTACTTTTATGTGGAAGAAGCTGCGCAACATCCGCGACAAAAAAATTCTCAAAATCAACGGTAATTTTTAGTGACTTTATACTTGCACTTGCTTATACTAAAATTTAATAGGCTACAAAATCGAATTAGAAAATTTTAAATTTTTAATGAAATTATTTTGGTATTTCTTGCATTTTTCCGAGTTCTGTATGAAATTAAAAAAATTTATTTTGCTGTTGAATGAACTATATTTTTATAAAAATTTAAGTAAAATTTGGTATGGAAAATGTAAACAAATAAAGTCGTCAAAATATCAGGGTAATCATGATCATTGCTTATAGTTGTGATGGTACATATATTTAGACTTACATATTTTTTAATACAAGAAACCGAGCTCAAGTTATGCATAATTACTAGGGTGATACTCGCATTTTCCAAATCGGTTTTCCCCGGTTTTTCTGGATATATGTAGGCAATTTTTTTTTTTTATCCAACAAACGCTTTTTTTCTTTCATACAAATGTTGACCTCGCAATAAAAGTTTTACGTCTTTCGAAGTTTTCAAGGCTTTTTCCAGTTAAAGGGAAATAAAATTATATACTAGGTTATTTGGGGATGAAAAATGTATCATATTTGATTCCAATAAATGAAAGTTTCGTACTTAAAAGTTTTTACGTGTTTGGACGAGCTTTTCATCCAAATTGTGTTCTGCTTCTTGATGCTGTGACACAATTGGAGAGATCTACACTTTTGCTTCACCTCCGAAGAGGTACACTCGGAGGTTTGCCATTGTCTGCCGAGTTGCGACGGCTACTTGAAAAAACTTTTTTTGCTATGTCACTGGGGCCAGAAATGGAACTATGGACCCCCCAAGTGCTAG